GGAGGGGCCTGGGTCTCGGGGTCGAGGGGTCGAGGGGCGCGGCCACGGCCCTGTCCTCTGCCCGCAGCCCGAAGCCCCTTCCCCGCAGTCATGGGACCTCCCGTTTCCAAGGAGCTGACTCAGAGGAATAACTAAGTCACAAGAGGATCTACACACCTGAGACTGGGGGACGCGAACCTCACAAAAGGCGGGGGGTGCTTTCTGGCAGGTCCCTATCTGACACCGTCTGCGGGGCTCAGACCCCCGGGGGGCTCACGGGGCGCCAAGAGCCCAGCGTTAGGGGCCCAGGCCCACCCAAGTCCCTCGCGGGCCTCACCTCCAGAGACCGGCCCCGCCAGAGCCACACCTGAAGAAATACTGGCTTGATTCAACCCCTCGTTGCATAAGGTTCCCGCAGAGGGAAGAGCTCCCCTGCCACCCGCCTGCCACCCCTGCCCTCATCCCACAGTCTGGGAAACCAGGAGGCTGCCCCCAGGTCCTGGTCCCAGGCCTGCCGCATGGCTGTGTGCGCCGGGCAAGTCCTCTCCCTCCCCCAGGTCCGGGTTCCAACACCCAACCACTGGCGGTGGACCCTCCGTGGCTCCAGAATTCCCGGGCAGACACGGACCCGCACCCAGGTCCGAGCAACAGGTCCTCTTGGGGGAAGGCCTGCCGCTCTGCATGCTGTTCGCATCTTTACTCTTTTTTTTTTTTTAATTTTTTTAAATTTTTTTTTATTTATGATACTCACACAAAGAGACAGAGAGAGAGAGAGGCAGAGACACAGGCAGAGGGAGAAGCAGGCTCCATGCACCGGGAGCCCGATGTGGGATTCGATCCCGAGTCTCCAGGATCGCGCTGGGCCAAAGGCAGGCGCCAAACCGCTGCGCCACCCAGGGATGCCACCCCCCCCCACCCCCGCATCTTTACTTTTAAATCCCTTCCAGGAGTCATGACTTCCACCCGGGTCGTTAGGCTGGGGGCTGGGGAATCGTGCGAGCAGCTCTCACTGTCCCTCTCCCCCCGCCAAGGTCAGAAGGCACCCAGGCCCTCCGCGGCCCGTTGGCCCAGCAGCCAGAGCCACAGTCCTACTGAACGGGCTGCTTTCAACCAGCGCTGCTCTACCCCCACTTATCTTTAGCCACCATCTGCTCTGCACTTAGGTTTTGTGATGCAAATTATAAAAGCCATATTAGCTCAGATATTTCATTAATGATTTGTGGGACTGGACAAGTGCATGGCAGGGGGGGGGATCTCATTTGCAAGTTAATCAAAATAAAGGCTGGGAGCTAATAAAACTCCTCTGAGCCATTATACATGCATGAAACAGTAGAGTCAGTCCTGAAATATATCCCAAAGAGTTTTTCCTAAGTGGACTAAGCTGCTTTTTAAATATATTACTCATTTGAATGGCTCCTGCTGGTGTTTTTAAGAATCCATCCCCCCCAAAAAAAAAAAAAAAGAAGAATCCATTACCCAAGTTAGAAACAAACTGAAATGCTTTTACGCACACTTGGGGCCATTCAACCACTCCTCAGACAAATGAAGGCACTGTCTGTCCCCCGTCCCCCCAGCCCCTGGGCCACCTGGGACTACCCCCTGCCTCCCCAGAGAAGCTTACCTGGCCCAGACAGACCACCCAGGGCTCTAGGCCTCCACTATTATTTTAATAACCTAATAACCTAAGTTTCTTTGCCCTAAGACTTAGTTTTCTCATCTGTGAAATGGGAATGATTGTACCTGTGGTAAAACAACAGATTTGGAATAGTGCTTGGCACACAGTGTTTAATAAATGCTATTTCTTTGAATCACTGCCTCCCCTCTGGGGTTAGTCAAGTGGTACTGCTTTCAAATAAATGTACCAATTAGGGGCACCTGGGTGGCTCGGTCAGTTAAGTTTCTCACTTTGGCTCAGGTCATGATCTCGGGGGCCTGGGATCAATCCCCACATCGGGCTCCCTGCTTAGCGGTCAGTCTGCTTGTCCCTCTGAGTCTTCCCAGCTTGTGCGCTCTAATAAATAAATAACATCTTTTTAAAAAATTAATGTACTAAAAAAAAAAAAAAAACCCATGCAGTCCTCTTTCACCAGTGGCCCCCCAGTGCAAGCCCAGTGCCTGGCATGGTAAGTTGAGTGCATGACCCCTGCATTCACACTCATCCACTCACACATTTACCTTCAACACCCATTTTGCAAAGGCTGCACATTAGACTCCCCTGGGGGGCATCCAATATACAGATTCCCAGGCTCTATCTCCAGAGATTCTGATGCAATTGCTGTGAAGCCTAGATGTTGATACTCATTTTTTAAGCAAACCAGGTGACCCTTGTCTGCAGCCAGCTTTAAGCACACATCTATACCTACAGGTGGCCCCCAGATGGTGTGTTCCTCTCTTATAGGGAAGAGGCTGGGAACTTTTAATTCCTCGTGCCTGAAATGCACTGTAATGTTGCCTCATGTACTGTCCTAGGTAAATCAGGTCTTACCCAACCTCAGTTTTCTTATGTGTGCAAGGATAAATTTAGATCAGGTGTCCTAGAAAGTCAAAATGCAAAGAACAAATCCTCGCTGGGGTTTCTTAATGGGGCTGAATTGTGCCCCTCTTCCCAGATTAATTGGTTGAAGTCCTAACTCCCAGAATGTGACTGTATTTGGAGATGAGGTCGTTAAAGTGGTAATTAAGTTAGAATGAGGTCATTAGAGTGAGCCTTGACCCAGTGTGACTGGTGTCCTTATAAACACACACACACACACACACACACACACACACACGAAAGACCATGTGAGAGGCCCCAGAAGAAACCAACCCTGCAGACACCTTGATGTCAGACCTCCAGACTCCAGAATTGCAAAATAAATTCCTGCCACTTACGGACACTCAGTCCTCTGCACTTTGTTATGGCAGCTCCAGCCAATCAACACATGCTGTGTGACCATTATAAATGCAAAATAACACCTTTCCTTGAGCTTGATTCAACTCAGGGCCTGTATGGGCCTCCTATCTTCTCCATGGCTTTTGCTTCAGGCCGCTCCTCCCTGTCAGGGCACAGCCAGCTCCATTAACTCTGCGCCATCACCTCCTCTGGCTAGCACTCCCATCTACCGGTTTTCTCTTCCTCGGAGAGGGGTGGGGGCCCCTGACTGTGATCACACGCACCTCTTAGGTTACTGACCTAGATTTTCCCCCTACCCTCTAGGGTTCAATGCTCAATGCTTGGACCTCGCCAGAAAGGTAGGCATTACCCTACTTCCTCCCATGGGGAGAATGAGGCTCTAAAGACAAGTCATTGGCTTGACATCCCAAAGCCTCCACCTCCTTCCTGCCTCCCCACTACCTGGGCTCCCCTCACCAGGCTCCCCACGCCACAAACTATAAAGTGCAGCAAGCACGTGGGTCTTTCCTCCTGGTTCTCCACATCCCACACACCCCCTCCCACAAACACAGCCAGCAAACCAGGAAGCCTGCGCTGGGTGAACAGGTCTGCAACATGACCCCCTACCCCACCCCCCACCCCCGCAGCTTTTCTAGTATGTTCAGCATCATCCCACTTCCCTGCTTCCCGCCCTTCCTCCACTGAGGCCAAAGGAATTCCAGACTCCCCAACATCCCACCTTCCTGCACCCAACATCCCACCTTCTTCCTGCACCCGGGGTTCTAACTGCTCCCCAGGGCACCCTGTGCTTTCCTCCTGGGTCCTCTCTCAAGCTGGTAAGGCCTGCAAAGAAGTTAGCAGGAAGCCTACTGGTCTGTTGAACTGACCTAGCCTCCAGGGCTTCTCTGATGGGTGAGAATTGCTGAATGCAAATCAAACGGACTCCTGACTGATGATCATATGCCGGAAGGCAGCATCAGAGGCTGCCTCTGCACGGAGCCCACTGTGAGCTCTCTGGAAATGCACTCAGTCCCGCTCGCACCGAGTTAGGATCTGCATTTTAGGAAGGCCCCTGAGCCAGGTTTCTCAACTCTGACTGCACACATAGTCCTCTTGGGGAGCTTTAAGCCTGCTGATGCTCTGGTGCTACCCTGGAGATTCCAGCAGCCCGGTGGTTCTAATGTGCAGCCTCAAGGCCATCTGGAGGCTCCCATCAGGGACCTCCGGTTGGCCTGGAGGGAAGGCTGAGACTGGCACCAGCACCAGAAATACCCAGCCCTAGAGTCCAAACCAGGGATGGAAAACTGGCTGCCTCTGAACGTGTTGGGAGGAAACCATGCTCCAGTGTCACAGATAGACCCGTCTAGCCTCTGTAAACATTTAAATCATTTAAATGGCCCACCCAGACCATTAAGCGCTGCCATCATGGTACCAGCAGACCCTCCTGTAACCATTCACACATTTAGTCACGAACCCCACGCTGCTACGAGGTAACTCACTGGAACCCAGGAGTTGCAGGGAGCCACATGGCACTAACTGCGTTTAAAAGTTCATTCCCGGGCAGCCCGAGTGGCTCAGCGGTTTAGTGCTGCCTTCAGCCCAGGGTGGGATCCTGGAGACCCGGGATCAAGTCCCATATCGGGCTCCCTGCATGGAGCCTGCTCCCCCCTCTGCCTGTGTCTCTGCCTCTCTATGTCTCTCATGCATAAATAAATAAATAAAATCCCTTTTTAAAAAAATAAAATTAAAAAAACAAAAGTTCATTCCCGGGCTGCCTGGCTGACTCAGTACAGCCTACAACTCTCAATCACAGAGCTGTAAGTTCAAGCCCCACACTGGGTATAGAGATTACTTAAAAATAAATTATTTTTAAAAGTAAAAATAGGGAATCCCTGGATGGCTCGGTGGTTTAGCACCGCCTTCAGCCCAGGGCATGATCCCGGAGTCCCTGGATCAGTCCCACATTGGGCTCCCTGCAGGGAACCTGCTTCTCCCTCTGCCTGTGTCTCTGCCTCTCTCTCTGTCTCTCATGATAAATAAATAAAATCCTTTAAAAATAAATAAATAAAATAAAAAATATAAATAAAAGTTCATTCCCTTTGACACAGCAATCCACCCCTAGAGACCTCCTCCACACACATATACTATATAAACATAAAGTAGTCACAAGCTTTGTTTAAAGAGTGAAAAACTGGAAACAACTCAAATGTCCCCCATTATGAAATTACAATACATTTACATGATAGTCATCACAGAGTGAGATAAACTTCTAATTACTGACATAGAAAAGCATCCAAAATACTATATTCAGATTTTTTTAAAAAGAGGGGGAAAATTGCACAATACTATGCATAATAAGGATACTTTAATAAAAATGGTAAATATCAATAAGCATAGGAAAAAAAGCAATTATTGTCAAAGGGGAGAAGGGAGTATAATAAGAGACTTTCTTTTTATAATTTCTATTTTTCTAGATACCACCAAAGCTGCTGAAATGCTCTTAGAAAACACAAAATAAAACAAGTACAGTCTCAAAGAGCTTAAAAATGTTAGGTAATCGGTTACTGCCGTCATAGCACACTGATCACAAAACAGACGCTTTAAATAGAGGCTTTGCTTTAAATGTCAAGAAACACTGAAAATAAACCTTTCTTACAAATCAATCATTTAAAACATAATTTGGGAACGTTAAACATTAACTCCCAATTCAAAGTGACATTCATAGGATACACCCTGGTGTTGGCCATTACGAAGTTTCCTGAAATCCAGTATTTTATATAAGCTTAACCATTAATCCTTCCTAAAAACTAATGATGAGAACTTAACTTTATAAGGTTAAGCAAGTCTTCCTTGTACTACTATCCCATGTAACTTTCTCAAACACAAAACATTTGTATCAGTAAGGAAACGATAAAAACACATAAATTATACTGAAGGGCTTGATTAAAAGGTTCTCTATATACAGGTGGGTACATTTCACCTTATAAAGCACATACGCACACAGAAACAGTCGAATAGAGATGCCATTCCACTCTCTTAGTCACGTTACATAGCAAACTGCATGTTTATAAATGTCATTCTAGTATGCATCAACTGAAAAAAAATGTATATTAAAAAAAAGTCCTTGAAGATGCTGAGGAGTGGCACATGCCTACGTCAGGCCCAGGAGCGCTCCAGGACTTGCTCGAACTGTCTCCGCCGGCACCGGACCCCACTGAAAACTGTCCTTCCTCAGAAAGACAAGATGGTCTTGTTAATGATTTCCACGGACTCCTGAATCTCATCCTCCTTGATCACAAGCGGAGGTGCAAACCTGATGATGTCGCCATGGGTCGGCTTGGCCAGAAGTCCATTATCGCGGAGCCGTAGACACACCTTCCAAGCATCATAATCTAAAGAAAAATGGCCAAACGCACATGCTGATCAAAGTGCCGCCCGGCAGAAGAGAACCCCCAGGGCCTACTAAAGAAAGACGGCTTGGGGTTGCAAGCTTGCTTTGTTCTTATTTTTAAAAATGAGTTTATTTTTCAGCAAGTGCATAACTAGGTTTGAATGGTATGATTAGACATACAGATTTGTTAAGTCTTTCAAAAATGAAAAAAGACCAAGCAAAACAATTATGTGCTAAGGCTGTTGTACTAATTATGAGGGACCAATGCAAAAAGAATTTGGGGAGAATACATGGAACTTAATGGGCATTCGCTAAGTGATCCTCAAACACAGTAAACCCTGCACGTTCCCAAAAACGGATGTGCTCCCCGTGGGGAGCTTGTGGAAAGAGACTTTTTTTTTTTTAACTCTCCTCATTTTGCGGTAGGGTTCTCGACGCTGGCTGCTCATGAGAATCACCAAGGGTAAAAAAAGAAAAGAGAATCACCAAGGGTACTGGGGCCCCTCCCAGACCCATCGAATCAGAACCTCCAAGGGGAAGCTAGGTTTGGATTAAGTTTTTAAAAGTTCCTCAGAGGGCACCTGGGTGGCTCAGTCGGTTAAGTGTCCAACTCTTAGTCTTGGCTCAGGTCATGATCTCAGGGTCATGGGATTGAGCCCCATGTTGACTCTGTGCTCAGTGTGGAATCTGTCAGAGATTCTCTCTCGCTCTGCCCCTCTCCATGGACTCAAGCATGAGTGCTTTCTTTAAAATATATGAATCTTTTAAAAAAAAAAAAAAAGACTATTTATTTGAGAGACAGAGAAAACATGAGGGGGAGGCAGTAGAGGGCAAAAGGACAAAGAGAAGCAGACACGCTGCTGAGCAGGGAGCTGGTCACAGGGCTCTATCCTGGGACCCCAAGATCACGACCCGAGCTAAAGGCAGACGTTAACCAACAGAGGCACCCAGGTGCCCCATTAAGTAAATATCTTAAAAAATAATAAAAAGATAAAAATGAAAAGTTCCTCAGGTGATTCTAAAGGGTTGCCAAGGTTGGAATCCCTGCTTTAAAAGGAAGGGTTATCACAGGAAAATCCAGCAGAGAGCCCTTGAGGGCTACTACAGACAGCATACTGAAACTCCCCACACTCAGTTAGTGGTGGGGGGGGGGGTTTATTCTCATCACCATCAGCAGCGTCACTCGTCGTCACTCGTCATCGTGACTGCTGCTCCTGCCACCTTTACTGCCATTCTAAGTATTTGAATGAGGCGGGTAAGACAACAAGAGGGAACTTCCTAGGAAGTGCTCCATGCAGTAAGAGCAAGGAACTGGGCATCTCCAAGTGCCACATCAGTAACCTATGGCAAAATAACAAATGATGTCACAGAACAAAAACAGGTCAAAGTAGTTAAATCCTTCCTGTAGGATTGGGCTCTACTTTCAGAGACCATTAACTGAAGTCAGATGATAACTCTGTGTAAAAGACCTGGTCAACAATTTCAAACAGGGGAACCCAACAAGCAGATAAAACACCACATGTGTTTTGGTCCTTCCCATAAAAATAACATCTTGAATAAAATATTTGTGTCCATACCTTTGGTTTCTCGAATAACAATAGCATTTAGTAATCCTTTCCCCCTGACAGCAGTGACAATGTCAGATGGCAGCTTCATGAGCTCGTTTCTCAGGATGATACCCATTTTTTCTGCATTTTCGCCAAGGTTTTCTTCTTCCAAAACCTGTGTTTAAAGAGAAATTACACAAATGCTAAGACTACCCTGTTTTAGGTTGTTCTTTGGAAGGAAACGCGGACTATAAGCAAAGGAAGAACATGATCAGATAAAGATCAGTCACTGGACTTTCATTTCTGTTTTCCAAAGCCTATACCAGTTTAACTTTTTTTTTTAAGATTTTATTTATTCGTGAGAGACACACACACACACAGAGAGAGAGAGAGAGAGAGAGAGAGAGAGAGAGAGGCAGAGACATAGGCAGGTGAGAAGCAGGCTCCCTGCAGGGAGCCTGATGTGGGACTCAACCCCGGGTCTCCAGGATCACACGATCACACCCTGGGCTGAAGGGAGACGCTTAACCACTGAGCCACCCAGGTACCCCTATTTTTTTTTTTTAAATAGGCTCCACACCCAGCATGGAGCCCACTGTGGGGCTTGAACTTAACCCTGAGATCCACACCTGAGCTGAGATCAAGATACAGATGCTTTATAACTGAGCCACCCAGGCGCCCCAACCAGTTTAGTTTCTAATTAAACATATACAAGCTCAAATAGAACCTTACTTTAGGGGAGACACCTGGATGGCTCAGGGTTGAGCGTCTGCCTTCAGCCCAGGGCATGATCCTGGAGTCTCGGGATCAAGTCCTACATCGGGCTCCGTGTGAGGAGCCTGCTTCTCCCTCTGCCTATGTCTCTGCCTCTGTGTTTCTCATGAAGAAATAAGTAAAATCTTTAAAAAAAAAAAAAAAAAAAAAAAAGGAACCTTACTTTAATCACAAGTCTATCCTCGATCTGATTTCGTTGGCAAAATACGAATTAAAATTTCTTTAATGCAGGCAGCCCAGGTGGCTTAGTGGTTTAGCGCCGCCTTCAGCCCAGGGCCTGATCCTGGAGACCCAGGATCGAGTCCCACCTCAGGCTCCCTGCATGGAGCCTGTTTCTCTCTCTGCCTGTGTCTCTGCCTCTCTTTCTCTCTCTCTCATGAATAAATACATAAAATCTTTTTTAAAAAATTTCTTTAATGCAACTGGTATCTTCTTAGTTGAATAAATCAATGGACTGAATATACTTTAATTTTTATTTTATTATTTTTTAAAGATTTTATTTATTTATTCATGAGAAACACAGAAAGACAGAGAGGAAGAGACACAGGCAAGAGGAGAAGCAGTCTCCATGCAGGAAACCCGTTGTGGAACTCGATCCTGGGACTCCAGGATCATGACCTGAGCCAAAAGCAGATGCTCAACCACTGAGCCACCCAGGCATCCCAAACTAATTTTTAAACTACAATAGTTCCCTTTACTTAATCACATAATTTTGTGCCTTGTAGTAGGCACCTAAGGAATAAGTCTAAAAGCATTCAAATTGACACTTAAAAAAAAAAATCAAGGGGGCACGTCTGGTCAGCTCAGTCAGCTAAGCATCTGCCTTCAGCTCAGGTCATCTGCCTTCAGCTCAGATCGTGATGTTGGAGTCCTGGGATCAAGTCCTGTTCCTCGGGTTCCCTGCTCAGCGGAGAGTCTGCTTCTCCCTCTCCTGTGCACTATCTCTTAAAATAAAATAAATAAAACCTTTAAAAAACAAAAAACAAAAATAGCCTCGCAGACCAGGTCTGGTCACAGAGTAAGAGCTCTCAGAGCCACCCAGGATCTACGAGCCCAAACTCCCAGATGACTGTAACTCAGAAGCCCCTGGAGAATTCCCATCTACTAGTTCAAGGTTAAATTACTTTTTAAGAATGCATTGTCCTTCCTCTGGACTTCATATTCTATGATGCTTGGCAATCTTATTATATTTCTCATGACATCAATGGGCTCAAATTTCAGTCACGTCGACACAGACAGACACCAGACGTCAGAGTCAGTCTTTACCTCCAGGGCTGCAATGGCCACTCGGCAGCCTAGCGGGTTGCCTCCGTACGTGGACCCATGTTCCCCCGCCTTGATGGTCAGCATTACTTCATCATCACACAGCACCGCCGATACCTGCAAGAGAGAATTCAGCACCAACCAAATCATTTCTCAGACTAACTGTTCCCATTCTCAGCACACCGGGAACACAAATATTTATGAAGCTGGTATTAAATTTGACATAAAGCTTCCACTAACTAGGGCTGCACATCTTTCATCATAACTGCCAGTGACAAACTGGTGAGGCCCTAAGCCCAGTGCGAGCACATCGGGCACGCTTCAATGGCACAGAACAAGAGCATTTTGGAACGAAGAGGAAAAGTGGTTTCTATGACGGAATTTAAAAAAAAAAAAAAAAACGACGGAATTTAGAATTCTTTCCACTTTCAAGGTGAAATGCTTGGTTTAACTGCTTAGAAAACAACATCCCTGCGCTACGTTCAGAGCCCTTTACCCTTCTTCCAGTACCAATGACTGGCTCTGAATGGTAAACTCAAGGACAAAACTAAAACAAATTTCTTCCAACTTCTACGTTAATCAGTCATGGTTTTAGACAATTAGTAATGCTGGGCTTGTGAACAATGGAAAAAAGCACAGGGTTCTAAGTGTACTTCTGGGGTAAAATGTTTCTGTCCAAAACAAATGCTGTAGCAATTCCAAGGCACACGAGTTCTCCAGTTAAAATTAACTCAGTGGATCGACCCCCTGGAACTCTGAAATGTTTCTGTTATGCATTCCAGGTGACATGCAGCACAGGAGACGTATACCCAAACCACAGGAATTGGAATGCACACTGTCACAACCGGCTGACGTAAGAATATCTTAAGGACAGATTTCATGAGAGTAGGGGTGTGAGAGAGAGGCCAAACCTACAACTTACAGGGTATAAGCCTCCAGAAAGTGCCTTTCCCAGAAGAACTACATCCGGTCTGACCCCTTCATGATCGACAGCCAGCCACCTTCCAGTTCTGGCCAATCCTGTCTGAATCTCATCAGCAATAAACAGAACCTGGTGGGAAACGACAGAATACAGTAATTATCGATTTTGTTTCCACGGGGAACACACTGAACTATTCCCCACACAAATCTGTCATCCTGATATCCCCTCAGAACTGTGGGAACCTTTTAATTACCGACATAATGTCAGCAGCATCCTATGAAAACCCTATAGACACACAGTTACTTCCTAGGTCAGGCCATAGTCTCCCTGGGGGCCCATTCCACTCTATTCTTCAGGGTAGAGACTGGGCATTTTGTTGTGGGGTGGAACGCGCAGTTAGATAAAACTACTCTCTGGAAACAGATTAATTCACTTGCTTATTCCAAACATTCATCAAATAGTTACTACTTCTTAAATATGAACTAGTTTGGTGGGAAGAGGAAGAGAACAGATGGATATAATAAGCAAGGGTCTGAGAAGGATCACAGCAGAGGCTGCAGGAGTGGAGAGGAAAGAACCACAGTTGGGGCCAGGAAGTCTGCAGCTCTGCCCGGCCCTGTCTTGGCCAGTTTCCAGGGCTAGTAAAAAGTCAGCTTCTGTGCAGGCTGCTGATAAAGTGTACTAGAAAGTTCTGAGGCTCTCAAAATGAAGTCTCCCCCTGCTGGAAAGGTGATGTCATCTTTGCCCCAACCCGACCAGCCCTAAGCGAGGCAGGCAGATGGAAGGTGGGCGACCTGGTGCTGGGTGCAGAGCTCTCGCACACCCATCAGGTAACCGGGATCCGGAACGACGACGCCCGCCTCACCCTGAATTGGTTCTACCATGAACGCTGCAACGTTTGGATCCTGAAGAGCACGCTACAAAAAAATATGAATAAGTTTTAGTAACTTCCTTTTTTATCCTATTTGGTTACACAGGCTAAAAATAGGTTAAATCTGAAATCACACACCGCACATATTTTTATGTATGCAAATTTAGTTTTTGTACTAACTTATATTCTGACTTCAGAGTATATAACATTTCTGGGGCACCTGGGTGGCACAATCAGTTGGTTGAGTGTCAGACTCTTGGTTTTGGCTCAGGTCATGATTGGGGTCATGGGATTGAGCCCCATATCAGGCTCTGCATTCCAGACAGATTCTACTTGAGACTCTCTTTCCCTCTCCCCCTACCCTTCCCCACCAACATGCTCTCAATCTCTCTCTAGAACAGATGAATAAATCTTAAAAAAAAGAAACCGCATATAATATTTCTGACAGTTACCAAAAGCTCTAAACACTTCAGCTTTAAGCTACTCTATATTCTCTAATACAGTTAATGTATTATAAAAACTAAAAAACATAGCTTTTAAAAAGACATTTTCTGGGCAGCCCAGGTGGCTCAGCGGTTTGGCACCGCCTTCAGCCCAGGGCATGATCCTGGAGACCCGGGATCAAGTCCCGTGTCAGGCTCCCTTCATGGGGCCTGCTTCTCCCTCTGCCTGTGTCTCTGTCCCCCTCTCTGTCTCTCATGAATGAATGAATGAATGAATGAATGAATGACATTTTCAGTGAATCTTTTTATTTTACAAGTCCTCTACTCATAATTTTTTTTGTTTTTTCTCCACTCAGAATTTTAAAAGGCTAAGTGAAAATGGAGCAATTTTATCTAGTAAAGAAATTAAACACATACACTATCCAAGGGCGCCTGGGTGGCTCAGGCAATGAAGCATCAGCCTTCGGCTCAGGTCCTGGGATAGAGCCCCACTTTGGGACTTTGCTTCTCCCCTGCCTCTGCCCCTCCCCTACTCATTCTCTCTCTCTCTCTCTCTCTCTCTCTCTCTAATAAATAAATAAAATCTTTTTTAAAAATAAAGGGAAAAAACCCCACATACTCTGCTACTCATGCAGTATACAAAGAGAAAGTAGCTGGTTCTCAGGATGAGACCACGGCACCGGACTTCCTCGTGCTGGAAACTAGCCGACTGTCACAAGAGACTAGTATGACACCTTGGCCCAACTTACATGAGATAGATGTTTATTACAGTCCCAAATCTACTTTCAAAGCACACATTTAACAAACTGAATTTTTCTTTTTTATTTTTTTTTAAGATTTTATTTATTTATTTATTCATGAGAGAGAGAGAGAGAGAGAGAGAGAGAGAGAGGCAGAGACAGAGCAGAGGGAGAAGCAGGCTCCATGCAGGGAGCCCGATGCAGGACTCGATCCCAGGTCCTCAGGATCAGGCCCCAGGCCAAAGGTGGCACTAAACCGCTGAGCCACCTGGGCACCCCTAACAAATTGAATTTCTATTTGCTCTGAGCCCAAGCCCCGTGATGCTACATGCAATACCTCGAGAGCAGGCAGATCATTGTATGGAATGATCTCAAAACCTGGCATAAACGGTCCAAAACCATCGTAGCTGCTCGGGTCTGTGGAACTGGAGATGGCAGACAATGTTCTCCCCCAGAAGTTTCCAGCTGAAAAGGAAAAATAGACTATTTCAGAAAGATCCTCCAAATTTAATAAGCATTGTCCCCAAAAAATACCTTAAGAAGTTTGATTTTTTTTTTAAATGAAGGTTTGCTTTATGGAGCCTGCAGTGAGCTTTCATTTGTTAAAATAAAACCTGATATTAGGGGGGAAAAAAAACAAACCTGATACTGGAGGTTCCCCTATGGAACCTCTAGACTGTACATGCAGCCCCAGAGGGTCAACACTGGTCTTTTTTTCCAGTTATCCCAAACTCTGACAACTGAGGGATTCAACACGTTTGTCTACACATGGAGCATTACAACAGTAATAAGAGAAGAATATCCTTTATAGAGAATTACTATTTTCCTTTTAAAAAACCAATACTACAGAATGAACTTTAAATTTCATTTGCAGAAAACATCCTCAGGCAATTTAAACACTTTCAAATTTGCCTTTCTTGGTATTATAATCTTTCATGTGCTAAATGACTGACACTATTTTTTTTGTTCAGGAACATATTTTTATTTGGTTAATAAGTGCGAGGCCCTACTACGTAGGTCAGGCACTGTTCGAGGTGTTGGGGACAGAGTGGTCATCATGGAGGGCTCCCTGCCCTCAGCAAGTTTGCTTAAATGCTAGAGGGAAAAAACACCATAACCCGAATCAGAGTAAAGCAAATGCATAAAATAATTTCAGGTGGGGACACCTAGGTGCCTCAGCAGTTGAACATCTGCCTTCAGCTCAGGGTATGATCCTGGAGTCCTGGGATGGGGTCCTACATTAGGCTTCCTGCAAGGAGCCTGCTTCTCCCTCTGCCTGTGTCTGTGTCTCTAATGAATAAATAAAATCTTTAAAAATAATAATTTCAACTGGATTACATTCAAGCATGGAATGAAATAATGGAGAGTAACAGAGAAGCTTGGGGGAGGGGGTTCCCCCACCTTTTTTAAAAAACTTTTACCAGCTCTGCCAGCACCAACTCAATTAACCCAGTACTGAATTACTGTATTTTGGCTTAAAGCACCTCTAAATACTACTACTCTTGCAAAGGATCTCCCACCTATGAGAGACCCCCACCCTACCTGTCCACCAGTCACAGCACATTGATTCTGACCAGGCTTGTTTAAAAGAAAATACACCAGGGGCACCAGGGTGGCTGAGTCAGTTAGGTGTCTGACTCAATTTCTGCTTAGGTCATGATCTCCGCATTGTGGGATTGAGCCCCATGACAGACTCTGAGCTGGCACAGGGCCTGCTTAAGATTCTCTCCCTCCTTCTTTCTCTGCCCCCACTCCTCCCAGTGTACACTCTCTAAAAAAAAACAGAAGAAAAAAGAAAGCGCACCTGTCAGACCAGGAACCTATATCTGCTCTCCTCCGCACAGACTCAGGAGTCTCCTTCTCTGTGCCTTACTCTGCCAGTGTAAGGGACTTACAGCTCGATCTCTACCCCACACTCACCAGCTGCTTTCAGTACACAGATAAAAACACCTTTTGCAATGGTGGATGACCCTATACCTGGCGAAATGGAGCTCGAGGCCATGAGAAGATACACCAGCCCAGTGAACCCTGCGGTTTTCCCCCATCTGACTGTGATGCTATTGGCAACTGGCATGTTTTTTACCACCTGGGTCTTTGTTTATGAGGTCACCTCCACCAAGTACACTCGGGATATCTAAAAGAACTCCTCATCTCCTTGGTGGCCTCACTCTTCATGGGCTTTGGAGTCCTCTTTCTGCTGCTCTGGGTCGGCATCTATGTATGAGCACCCAAGGGTTCCAACCAGGTGGCTTCACTGAACTCCTGCTTTTGTAAATTAATTTTTTTTTTACTATTGCTGGAAGTGTCCCACCTGCTGCTCCCAATAAAGGCAGATGTGTGACAAAAAGGCAGATGTGTCAAAAAAAAAAAAAACACCTTTTGCTAATATGTAAGAGACCAATAGTCTGTAAGAATGAAAATCACCAGAAATGCCATTTTTGTTTGCAAGAAACAGTTATGTTATGCTATCCTACAACTAAGGTACAAGATTCCAAAATAACAGGTCACAGAGCTGAGCCAAGACTTCTTTGGGAACAATAATCTATCACGCCCAAATGATAACTACACCTGGCCATCAGAATATTTAACAATTTCAACCATCAAAAGAATGAATTTTGACCACGAGCAATGATAAATTTGTCTGTACTTCATGTTTTTAAAAATTAAAATCAAAGCTTTACCAAGAAGTCAGAATCTAGCAATTGAACATCATTAGAAAGAGTCTAAGAGTCAGACTATATTATACAGAGGACAAACTGGTAGTTACCAGAGAGAAGGTGGGGGGGGGGGGCATGGGTGAAATAAAGGGCATCGGGTACACTTAACATGATAAGCACTGAAGAATGTACAGAATCCTGAATTACTACATTGTAGACCTGCAATTAACAGGACACTGTATGGTAATTATACTTCAAGTAAAAAAAAAAAAAAAAAAAAAAGAGTAAAAAAAGTACAACTAGCAATAATTAAGGCAAAAGAGGGCAGCCCTGGTGGCTTAGTGGTTTAGCATCACCTTCAGCTGGGGGTGTGATCCTGTAGACCTGGGATCGAGTCCCATGTCGGGCTCCCTGCATGGAGCCTGCTTCTCCCTCTGCCTGTGTCTCTGCCTCTCTCTCTCTCATGAATAAATAAATAAAATCTTAAAAAAAAAAAAGGCGGCAAAAGGAAACTTTTGGGGTAGTGGCATAGATTGTGGTGGTGGTTTCATGGGTGAACACTGACCTCCAAGCTCAGCAAGTTGTCTACTTTAATTACATACACCCTTTTATTTTATTCAAAAAATAAAAGTAAATTTTAAATAAAATAAGATGCTAATACACGGTAGGGCTGGAGAGGAAGAAGGTCAGATTCCAACATCTGAATTAACTGTTCACCTCCCAAATCAGTATCCAAGTCATTCCTCTCAACCATTCCCAGAAATATATCCAGGGCAACTCCAGTCCTCCTCTTCCAACAGCTTCTGACAACATGGTACAACAAATCATCAAATACTAAGATTCAAACTTCATATCACAACTAGGACATGGCCCCACTCTAACAAAATCCAACCTCAGCAACCTGACAAAATACCAGAAAGACCATCTATTTAAGGAGAAACCTACTATGAAAAAAAACTGATAGGGATCCCTAGGTGGTGCAGTGGTTTGGCGCCTGCCTTTGGCCCAGGGTGCGATCCTGGAGACCCGGGATCAAATCCCACGTTGGGCTCCCGGTGCATGGAGCCTGCTTCTCCCTCTGCCTGTGTCTCTGCCTCTGTGTGTGTGTGTGTGTGTGTGTGTGTGTGTGTGTGTGACTATCATAAATAAATAAAAATTTTTAAAAAAAGAAAAAAAAATCTGATAAGCAGAAGACAAACAAATCATCTAATCGCTCGTTTTAGGGAGTAGGAAGTAGGAAGTTACTTAGCAGAGAAAAACCTCATTTATGTAGAAATACTTGGAGATAATTTCCCCAGAGGAAATCTCTCAATTTTTATGAAACATTCAGCAAATAATGTATCATGGATGAGGCAAACACACTGGAAATATCCTATCAGTAAATTAAAACAGTAATGGCATTTTAAGTTCCTATCACAGAGGTTAACGCTGAATTTCACATACCTGCAAAAACAATCTTTGCTTTGTATTTTGGAATACCCTTAACGGTATATCCCCACCTACGAGCAAGTTTGCAAGCGGTCTCTCCAGCCTCCACTCCTATAAAGAAAAAAGTTTTTCAGTTTAAAAAAAAAATTTTTTAATTATCAAAAAGTAGTAAGATTATTTTCTTGGCTATTTAACGTCAAAAGGAAATATTTTACCTGTATTCATAGGAAGAACTTTGTGGTAGTTGAAAAGTTTAGTAACATACTCTTCATATTCACCAAGTACATTATTATAGAAAGCCCTGGATGTTAAGGTCAGTTTGTCTGCTTGATTTTTCAGAGCATTCACAATCTTTGGATGGCAATGGCCTTGATTGACAGCACTGTAAGCACTCAGGAAGTCAAAATATTTTCTGCCTTCTACATCCCATACGTAAATACCTAAATAAATAAAGAGAGTCATCTTAGAAAAATCACTGAGTTACATAAAGTTCAAAGATGAAAACTGTTGGCAAGCCTTCTGAATACCTACACAGGAACCTCTACTTAACACAGAATTGTGGTTAAGGCATGTTTTAGCTCAAGCATAGTAGGGTTCGTTATAAATACTCTGGTTTACAAGGAATTGTTTGTTCAGCTTGAAACTACCTATTTAACGGGAACACCATAACATGAAAAGGTTTATAAAGTCTGGAGTGAAACCTTCACTCCTAGAATACTGGGTTTTGAAATTTAAAACAGAAGTTTTACAGAACGTAAAAATCATGATTTGTGGACTGTAACCACCAACAGAATGGGAGAATATATTTCCAATTCATACATCCATTCTGCTAAGGATCTAGTATCCAGAACACTTACAACTCAACAGCAAAAAACCCAATTCAAAATGGGCAAAGAAAAAAAAATGGGCAAAGAAAATGAATAGACATTTCTCCAAAGAAGATATACAAATGGCAAAAAAACATCTATAATACTCAATATCTCCATCACTGGAGAAATGGAAATCAAAACCTCACCAATAGCATTCCATATTCATAAGGATGGTAATAGTTAAGAAAGAAGAGAAGAAGGGAAAGGGAAAAAAAGAAGAGGAAAGAAAAGAAAAAGATGGTGGGGCAGCCCTAGTGGCTCAGCGGTTTAGCGCCGCCTTCAGCCCAGGGCCTGATCCTGGAGACCCCGAATCAAGTCCCACATCAGACTCCCTGCATGGAGCCTGCTTCTCCCTCTGCCTGTGTCTCTGCCTCTCTCTGTCTCTTTGTGTCTCTCATGAATAAATAAATAAATAAAATCTTTAAAAATAAAAAAAAAGAAAAGAAAAGATGGAAAACAAGTGGTGTAAAGGACATGGAGAAATTGTAACTCATGTATTGCTAGAAACTGCAACTCATGTATATTTTAAAATGGTGCAGTAGCTCTATAGAAGACAGCTGGGCACCTCCTCAGCAAGTCACACATAAAGTTACCATCCAACTGAGCAATCCCACACCTAGGTATACCCCCAAAAAAGTCAAAGACAGGTGTTCAAACAAAAATTTGTACACAAATGCTCATAGCAGCACTATTCATAATAGCCAAAGGGTGGAAACACAAATGTCCATCAACTGATGAATGAATAAAATATGATCTATCCATATAATGAAGTATTTTTTTAAGATTTTATTTATTTATTCATGAGAGACACACACAGGGAGAGGCAGAGAAGCAGGCCCCATGCAGGGAGCCTGATGTGGGACTCGATCCAGGGACTCCAGGATCATGCCTGGACCGAAGGCAGGCACCAAACCGCTGAGCCACCCAGGGATCCCCCATATAATGAAGTATTATTCAACCATAAAAAGATAAAAAGCAATGAAGTGCTAACACATGCTACAACATGGGTAAGCCTTGAAAATATTACACTAAGTCAAAGAAGGAACAAAGGCCACATATTGTGGCCATTCCATTTATATGAAATATCCAAAATAGGCAAATCCACAGAGACGGCATGCAGGTTAGTGGCCGCCAGGTTCTAGAAGAGGGGAGAGTGGAGAGTGACTACTTAATGGTTATAGTGGGTCCTCTGGGGTAATAAAGTCCTGGGACTAGAGGTGGTAGCTCTACAACACTGAATATGTACTTAGTGGTACTGAACTGAATGGATAAAATGGTAAATTTTAAGTTATATACACTTAAAATATTTTAATGGACTATAAATATAAAAACGTATTAGGTAGGGATCCCTGGGTGGCGCAGCGGTTTGGCGCCTGCCTTTGGCCCAGGGCGCGATCCTGGAGACCCGGGATCGAATCCCACATCGGGCTCCCAGTGCATGGAGCCTGCTTCTCCCTCTGCCTGTGTCTCTGCCTCTCTCTCTCTCTCTCTGTGTGACTATCATAAATAAATAAATAAATAAATGAATGAATGAATGAGTGAGTAAATAAATAAATAAATAAATAAAACGTATTAGGTAGCTTACCAGCTAAGTTTTACCATGTATTAACATGCTGTGTTAAGTGCTTCTGTATCTTATCTCCTCAAAAAACCTTACTATTACTTATTTTACTAATAAAATAAGACTTTATTTATTTATTCATGAAAGACAGAGAGAGAGGCAGAGACACAGCCAGAGGGAGAAGCAGGCTACATGCAGGGAGCCCAATGTGGGACTTGATCCCGGGTCTCCTGGATCACACCCCAGGCTGAAGGCAGCGCTAAATTGCTGAGCCACCTGGGCTGCCCTAAATGTTTAATACTCTTATACACCATCTTCTGGCCCCGAGCTAAGTAGTAAACTTCGATTTTATTAGGTTAAGGCTATTATTTCAAAACGTGCATTAAACCACCACTTGGCAACTATCAGTAATCATTCAGGCAGAGAACAATTAATGGATGCTAAAAGTGTGAGTAAAAGTGTGCAATCTCAAATCATGTCTCCACAAGATATTCAAAAGGGCAACATAGTATCTTTGCACTGAAGACAGCTGGCAGTCACTACCTTACCAGCCAACTACAAACTGAGGTTCATTCTACAAAATTATTGACCTGTACTCTTCAAAAACATCAAGATCAAGAAGATGAAGACTGAGGAACTGTTCTGGATTAAAGAAAACTAAACAGACCTGAAAACTGAATGTAACCCATGATATGAGATTTTCCTTTTACAATAGGACAGATTTCAAATAAAATCTGATCAGGTCTGTAGATTAGATAATGATGCTGTAGTAATGTTAATGTCCCTATCTTGATAATTACACTATTGTTATGTAAGAGAAAGTCCTGTATTTTAGGAAAGACACACTCAGTATTTAGGCATAAAGAGGCATCACATGTCTGCAATTTCCTCTCAGTCCAAGGAAAAAATGTAGCTCACACACACACATGAGTGCATATGTGTGTTGGGAGGGGGAGAAAATGATAAAGCAAATGTGAAACAATGTTAGCACTCAAGAAATCCAGGTGAAGAGGGGTGCCTCAGTGGCTCAGTCAGTTGGATCACCAGCTCTTGATTTCAGCTCAGGTCATGATCTCAGGGATCTGGGATGGAGCCCTGAGTCAGGCTCTGTGATCAGCAGGCAGTCTGCTTAAGGATTCGCTCTCTGCCCCTTCCCTCTACTCTCTCTCAAATAAATAAATCTTAAATAAAAAAAAAAAATCTGGGTGAAGAGTAAAACAAAATTATTTGTACTACTTTTGTAACTTTTAAGCCTAAAATTATGCCAAGGGAAAAAAACGATAGCACTTCTGTATCTGACATCTGTTCTTGGCCAGGTCCATCATGGCAAAGACTGAATGAGATCATCTATGTATCTCCCCCCAGTAGCTAAGACAGCAAGCACTAGAAACTCAATAAATGTTGAATTAACTGTATCTGTAATAGAGAAATTAAATGCACCTGGAAAAATGTATACTGAGAAAATTTTAAAGCAATTTTTTTAAAAGGTTTCAAGCAAAAGAGAGAAGGGATGTTGGATTAACTCAAAATGTACCTTTTCCCCTTTCCAGGGCTACAGGTAAAGGATGGTAGTTGTGTGCACCATATTTAGATTCTCGCTCAAAAATGTAATCAGAAGATGGAGGGCCTTGGATTGTCTTTTTAGTTGCAACAGACGTAGCAGAAGCTACTGAAGAATGAACTCCACGACGGAGCACAGCAACGGTCTGCAAATGAGCTAGTCTGGAAAACATCATTTCCTTCAAGTAGGAATACCACTCACCTATTCAAAAAGAAGACAAGGCAGTTAGAGTAAGAATGTTCCCAGAGTCCATGTACATCAGCTCATCATGTGTTAACCCATTTACCACAGCCCGCAAAGAATCAGGCAAATGAGAGAGAACAGAGACCTGGGAAGCTTAAGGGGAAAAAGCACATGAATGTTTAGAGTGAAACCTGACAAACACTACAGCAGGCTGTAATAGGTAAGGAAATCAAGAAAAACTATGGATGGGAGGTCAGGGGCTTTCCCTTTCACTTACAATCTTCTATGCCACTCCAGACTTCTTTATTAAACACAGACTTTTTTGAGGTCATCAGCACTGAGAGTACCTCCAAGGACAAGGAACTCACGCTGGGGGAGTCAGGGGGAGTCAGGCACGGGGGGGGGGGGGGGGATATGGGGGAGGCTAAAGAGGTGGTACCTGACCTTGCAGACTGAGCACCCCTTAAAAAGGAACTGCGGGGGTGGGGGACAGGATCCATTCAGATCTGTCCCAGTAAGGAGACCAAATCAGAGAAGGAGGTGACCGTGGGACGAGAACTACCTCGTATACCAACTCCTTCCTTGTAAGTAAGGAATGGAAACATGGAGAAAGAATTTGGCTTCTACAAATAAAACAGGGACTGCTCTAGAGGAAAAAGAATGGGTGTGGAGTGGAAACAGTGATTTCTTGGGGGAAGGGAAGGGTGTTTTCAAGTATAACACCATAGGGATGATGGGTGGCTCAGCGGTTTAGCACCTGCCTTCAGCCCAGGGCATAATCCTAGGATTAAGTCCCACATCAGGCACCCTGCATGGAGCCTGCTTCTCCCTCTGCCTATGTCTCTGCCTCTCTCTCTCTCTGTCTCATGAATAAACAAATAAAATCTTTAAAAAAAAAAAGTATATAACACCATAGACAGAAACTACAAAATGTAAAATCTATTATTGAGCTCACATATCTATAATTCCTACAGCACAAAATTATCAGAAACAGCTGAGTGAAGTAAGTCAATCGGAGAAGGACAAACAGTGTATGTTCTCACTCATTTGGGGAATATGAATAATAGTGAAGGGGAATATAAGGGAAGGGAGAAGAAATGTGTGGGAGATATCAGAAAGGGACACAGAACATAAAGACTTCTAACTCTGGGAAATGAACTAGGGGTGGTGGAAGGGGAGGAGGGCGGGGGGTGGGGGTGAATGGGTGACGGGCACGGAGGGGGACACTTGGCGGGATGAGCACTGGGTGTTATTCTGTATGTTGGTAAATTGAACACCAATAAAAATTAATTTATAAAAAAAAAAATTATCAGAAACAAAAGTGAAAGGCAAACAGACTAGGAAAAAAATATTTGGTAATTTATAACAGCTTTTGAAAAGCTTTTACAATAAGGTGAACAGATCAAAACACACATATATAAAATTTTATGCATTATATAAAATACATATTATATACATTTATTTACATATACACACATAAGAGGTGAAAACAGGTAAGTCCCAAAAAACACTTTACTCTGCCAGGACGGTTGCTTCTAGAAACCAAAAACTGCACCACAAAAGCAATTATTTAAAGGAAATAAAGGTAATCAGTAACTATAAAACAAACTACAATGAGCTAAGAATTTTAGTAACAAAACCTAAATATCACTGAGCAAACTAGCCTTTCCTCACAATCTCTATTTCAGAGTCTTGGTTATTTCATCTGTCACCACCAGCCCTAAAACTAGCCCCACCACAATGATTCCCTATGGCTTTGCCTCTCTTTGTCCCATTAATAGTCACCAGAAACCTTGAGGTAAAGACTGAGCTATGGAAGAAGCTAAGAAAAAGGAAATAAAAAAAACAAAAAAACAAAAAACAAAAAAAACGCATAGCAACCATATCTTTTAAAATGATCTTTAAAGATGTTTTTTAAAAACAATTTCAGGGGACCCCTGGGTGGCGCAGCGGTTTGGTGCCTGCCTTTGGCCCAGGGCGCGATCCTGGAAACCCAGGATCGAATCCCACATCAGGCTCCCGGTGCATGGAGCCTCCTTCTCCCTCTGCCTGTGTCTCTGCCTCTCTCTCTCTCCCTGTGTAACTATCATAAATAAATAAAAAATAAAAAAAAAAGAAAAAAAACAAAAACAATTTCAGGATTAATAGAAAGTTGCCAGGGGTGCCTGCATCAGTCAGTCAAGCTTCTGACTCTTGGTTTCTTGGTTTGGGCTCAGATCAAGATCTCAGGGGTGGGGCTCAGTCACTTAGCATGGAGTTTGCTTGTCCCTCTCCCTCCCCCTCTGTTCCTCCCCCGCCCCACCAAAATAGAATATTTTTAAGTAGTTGCCAAACATTAAGCATATTTAGGTCTTTTTAATTAGTTAATTTTTTTTGGTCTATACTTATTTTTTAAAAAGACTACTTAACTCATGTTTAGACAGAGTTCCCATGAATGACAAGTCAAATCACACAACCTCCTGGCACTCAAACTGAGCTGCCAAATTAGCAAAAACTTAATACATGGAGCTTGGCTTACTTCCCTTTCAGCTTGGCTCGACCTGGTAAATCCAGTGTGTTCAGAAATTCAGTTACTAAACAAAATCCAGCACTCAGTTTGCCAAGACTCACCGACTATCCTTTCTTCCCACGGTTCAGATCAGAATACAGACTTTTAATCTGAGGTCCAGGGAGAGTCTTCAGAAGGTCCAATAACTCCTGAAATAAAATGCAGAATTGTACGCATAAGTGCATTTTCCTAAGAAGGTCCTAGCTCTTACCAGGTTTTATCTCAGAAACGCACATTATTTAGGAACTAACAGACTGGAGATAGCAGCTAGCAAAAATGCAAGGTTTAGCTATAGAAAATGAGACAGAACTTCCCCCAAAGTACTACTGTGAAGTCTAAAACATGGATTTTAACTTTATTTCTTGGCCTTTTTATGCTCTATGTAGTAAGAATTAATGCTCTATTAAACCAACTAAAAAATTAACGCAATTTTTGCCTTGATCAAATTAGCAATAAAACACAGTGTTCCATGGTGGCATACTCTGAACAAAGAACTATAGCCATTATCACAGCCTTAGGAGGTTTGTACTCTTAGACCAGTAATTTCACTCAGAAGATCCTATTATAAATACTCAGGAATGCGGAGAAACATTCATGCATAAAAGATATTCAACAATAAAAACGGATCAATATAATCACATACATAATATATTGTCATTAAAAATAATTATAGTTTTATGACATGGAGGTGTTTTATGATGTGTTTAAGTGAAAAAGAAACCATATATACAAAACGTTCAAGATTATAAATAAGATAAAGAAAAACCACCTGAAAAGGCACAAAAATGTTCACTGGTTATCTACTCTTCTGTACTTCCCACATTTTCTAATGATCATGAACTACGTTTATAATCAGAAAAAGTTATTACAACAAATGAAGCTGAAGGTCTGCCTAGGTTGTCACACTGGACAGAGAAAGCTTAGGCAACATACAAAACAAAACCAAGGGGAAAAGAAGCTTTGAAAAGCTCTGAGAAAACTGCCTGTGGTTAAAAGAAAGGCAGAGGTCATTTCCCCTAGGAAGTGCAGGCTGGATTACAACAATTAGGTCTAGAAGTTCATTTGTATCTCGGGGACAGGGTCAAATTTTAAAAAACTACACTCTGTAAGGATTTTGCTATCAAGGTCTACAGCTCTGTGACCAGAAGCAGGCAGAGAGGCACTATGCAGTGAAGTATTAAAAAAATACTAAAAACTCTAGCATTTTTTTTAAGTTAGCTCTACACCCAATGTGAGGCTTAATCTCGTAACCCCTTGAGATCAGGAGTCATAAGCTCTTTCAACTGAGCCAGCCAGGCGCCCCCTGATTAGCATGTTTTAAGTTCATTAACAGGTTGATTCACAGTATTCAGAGTGAAAAGGAAATCTCTGAAATTACCTAAATTCAACAGTCTCATCTTATATAAGAAGGTATTTGCTCAGTTAATTTGCAACAGACATGGGACAAAAGATCCATTTATTGTAGAGTTCAGGCAGTCTTATTAAAAAATAACAACTTAAGAGGATCCCTGGGTGGCTCAGCGATTTAGCGCCTGCCTTCAGCCCAGGGCGTGATCCTGGAGTCCCACATCCGGTTCCCTGCATGGAGCCTGGTTCCCTGCATGGAGCCTGCTTCTCCCTCGCTCTCTCTCTCTCATGAATAAATAAATAAAATCTTTACTTAAAAAAATAAAAAATAATAACTTACCAAAACAATAACATTCAAACATTAGTAAAAAAAATTAAAAAATAAAAACAGTAATAATGTCCTCAAGGCTTTTTAAAGATGAATTCTGAATATTCAACTGAGAAAAGTCCTGCAATTGGGAGTGTGATGATATAACTAGAATCCTGTGGACATAATTTTTTAAGATTTTACTTATTGGGATGCCTGGGTGGCTCCGCGGTTGAGTGTCTGCCTTTGGCTCAGGTCCTGATCCCAGGATCCGTGATCGAGTCCCACATCGGGCTCCTTGCAGGGAGCCTGCTTCTCCCTCTGCCTATGTCTCTGCCTCTCTCTGTGTCTCTTATGAATAAATAAAATATTTTTCAAAAAAGATTTTACTTATTTAGTCATGAGAGACACACAGAAAGAGAGGGAGGGGGAAGGGGGGGAGAGAGAGAGAGAGAGAGAGAGAGAGAAGCAGGCTCCATGCAGGGAGCCTAACGCAGGACTCGATCCCAGGACTCCAGGATCATGCCCTGGGCAGAAGGCAGGCACTAAATCGCTGAGCCACCCAGGGATCCCACTCTTCTAATTTTTTGATAAAAAAAAAAAAATCAGAAACACAGACAAGAAAATTACCTGCAATTCTATAATCACGTTTTTCTATGCATAAATACGATATACATTAGCTTTCTTTCGATATACATTAGCTTTCTTTCACCCTCACCCATAGAATTTATGACATAAGACCCTCCTGAAGATTCCCACAAATCTTGCAGATTTTTATCACAGGTCCTAACATTTTAGGACACTGGTCTTCATGCGGGTCCCCCTTCTAGAATCCCAGTAGGACAGGATGCCTGAGTGGCTCAGCAGTTAAGCGTCTGCCTTTGGCTCAGGGCGTGAACCTGGAGTCCTGGGATGGAGTCCCACATCGGGCTCCCCACATGGAACCTGCTTCTCCCTCTGCCTATGTCTCTGCCTCTCTGTGTCTCTCATGAATGAATGAATGAATGAATGAATGAATAAATAAATAAATCTTAAAAAAAAATAGAGTTCCAGTAGGCTCCTTAAAAGAACAGTAACCATATCTTAAAATTCACTTTGCATTCCCAGAACCCAGCCCAGGTTTGGACATTTCACTGGTATCCTTTGTTTGCCAAATACATCAGAGCATTCCTAAATACACTTAGGATTCCTAAAGGAGTCAAGGCAGCAAGAGAGAGCAAGGTCATCTAGAAAGGTGATTAAATCACCCAACACTAACCGAGTTGAGCCTAGCTCTCAGAGAAAGCTAGCATTCTCTAAGAAATCACCAGAAGCAACTATAATCTTTCCATCAAAAGTTCACTTCGACAAATACCATATGATTTAACTCATGTGTAATTTAAGAGCCAAAACAAAGGATCATGGGGTAGGGGGGGAACCAAGAAACAGACTCTAAACCATAGAGAACAAGCTGATGGTTAGTGGAGCAGAGTAAGGGGGGGGACGGGGGACAAGGATTAAGGAGTGCACTTGTGATAAGCACTGGTGTCAAAAATAAGGGCTGAATCATGTAACTGCACACCTGAAACTAATACTACACTGTCTGCTAACGCACTGGGATTAAAACAAACTTTTAAAACTTTACTTCATTAAATTTAAAGGCCTTTAGGAGACAAAATAGGTATAAACGTAACCAGTCCTGGCTGTTGTCATGCATTTAACCAAGGCCCATACTCAGGTGCTGGAGAAAACAAATTACTACTGACCCGGAAAATTTTAACATTGTTTTCAGTAATCTACATAGTTCACAAAGTCCTTCTTCAAGCTATTTTTATTCCCCTCTATCTAATCCATCCTGCCTACATGAAAACATACCTAAAATAGAATGTCCATAAAAGGCTGCATTTTAAAGCATTAATTTAGCACGCACTATAAAATAGTTTTTTTTAATTACTGTAAAAGAAAAAAACCACTTAAAATATTCCACTTGTGGAATAAATTTGGCTTTACTATGTTGGTCAAATATTTACTTTTCTTGAGGTAACCATTCACAAATACAGTCCCTTTTTTTTTTTTTTTAAAGTTCTGCCAACAAGTTTGGTGGGTTTTTTTTTTTTGTACATAATCTGGCTAAGATTCAACTCAACTGCGTCACTGGCAAACACCTTCACCATCACTATTGAAAAAGGACTGGCTCTGCCAGACTACACCCTCCACACACCTCCAGAATTTAGTCTATTCCTCTCTATTTTACTTTTTTTTAAGTAGGCTCCACGCCCAGCACAGAGCCCAGCCAGGGCTTGAACTCATGACCCTGAGATCAAGAGCTGAATGGAGATTAAGAGTCGGACGCTTGACTGAGCACAGAGGTGCCCCAGTTCCTATTTCAAAATATATGAGATTCAGGGGTGCCTGGGTGGCTTGGTTGGTTAGGCAGCTGCCTTTGGCTGAGGTCAAGAGCTCCAGGTCCTGGAATGGGGCCCAGAGTTGGAGCTTCCTGCTCAGCGGGGAGTCTACTTCTCCCTCTCTGTGCACCCCCCAACCACCCCCACCCCTCACTCTGCTCTCTCAAATAAATAAGTAAAATCTTAAAAAAAAAGAAAAATACATTTAGGACTCCTGGGTCGCTGAGTCTGTTAAGCACCTGCCTTTGGCTCAGGTCTCCATCCGGGAGTTCTGGGATCCAGCCCCATGTAAGGCTCCCTGCTCAGTTGTGGGGGGAGGGGGGTCTGCTTCTCCCTCTCCTTCTGCCTTGCCACTCCCCCTGCTCGTGGTGTCAAATTTTGAAAAAATTTTTTTAAAAATTAAAAAGTGCATTTATCTTTTTTAAAAACGATTTTGAGGGCAGCCTGGATGGCTCAGTGGTTTGGCGCCACACCTTCAGCTCAGGACGTGGCCCTGGGGTCCTGGGATCCAGTCCTGGGATCCAGTCCTGCGCCACGCTCCCTGCATGGAGCCTGCTTCTCCCTCTGCCTCTGTCTCTGCCTCTTTCTCCCTGTGTCTCTCATGGATAAATAAATAAAATCTTAAAAAAAAAAAAAGACTCTAATACTTGGAACTTTTTCAGCGTCTGGAACTAGATTTTCCAAAGATGAAGCCAAGTCATCCTAATGAAAGACAGTCTATTGTTCATTTCAAAGAGGTAAGTAAAGAAACTGGGTTACATGAAGAGCACTTCCAGGCTCAAACTGGAGAGAAACGGTTTGCCTACGGAAACAACCCCCAACCCCAGAGAGGAGATTTAGAACTGAGAAAATTAAAAGATTCGTCATTTATTAAGGCCAATGCATTTCAAACTCACTCCTCCTTTTCTCCCTTATCACACCTTATCAAAAATTAAAAAAAAAAAAAAGAGGGGGGTTCCCTGGGTGGCTCAGCGGTTTCCCGCCTGCCTTTGGCCCAGGACGCGATTCTGGGGTCCCGGGATCGAGTCCCGCGTCGGGCCCCCTGCGTGGAGCCTGCTTCTCCCTTTGCCTGCGTCTCTGCCTCTCTCTCTCTATCATAAATAAATAAAAATAAATCTTAAATAAATAAATAAATAAGCATCACCTTATCAAAGGGGGGGGGGGTCACACTGAAAGCGAGAAGAGTTACCAAAAGCAGGAGCCCGGAGACAGGTTCCTGAGAACAAGCGGCCCCGGCGAATTCACCCGGAATCCGCGGATGCTCAGCGGCGCCGGCGAAGAACCCTAAGGACGAAGTCTTCCAGCTGAAACCCCTGTTGGCCCCAATCCCTGGACACCGCCCCGTGGAGTCCGCTCGCTGCTGGAGATAAGGCTCCAGCTCCGTCTCTGCATCGAGGCCGTAGGGGAAAACGACGCGGGGGGGGGGGGGGGGGGCGGGGACCAGCAGGTGGGCCCGGGCGCTGCCCGCGGGGCCTCCAACCCTCCCGAGCGTCTCCCCCGGCGCCCCCCGCCCCAGCAGAGGCCGCGGCTCCCTGAGCGGCTCCGCAGCGCCCGGGACACAGCCTCCGGGCGAGCTCAGGCCCCGGGGTGCCCGCCGTGCGCGGGGCCGACGCCCAGCACCTCCCGCTGCACACCCGCAGGCGCAGGGACCCGGGCGCCCCGGCAGGCGGGGCTGCCTCAGCCTCCCCCCCGCTCCCCGCCGGGATGCGCCGCGCCCAGGGCCCCGCGGTGCCCGCCGCGTACACGGCCGCAGAGGCGGAGCCCGCCCGCCGCCGCCGCCGCGGGCGCCCGGCCCTCCCCGGCCCTCCCCCCCCCCCGAGCCGCGGCCCCTCCGCACCAGCGCGGGTACCTGGCAGCGCCTCCGCACCCGCCCGGGACACGCGGCGTCGACAGCGCGGCAGCGCGACGGCGGCGCGTCACACAGCCTAAGACGCGGCTTCCGCCCCGCCCCCGAGACGCCCTCGCCGCCCATTGGCTGGCGGCGGAGGGCTGAGCACCAATCGGCGTGGGCCCGCCCCGGCCCCGCCCCCGCCCCGCCCCGCCCCGCCCCGCCCCCCGCCGCGGGCTCCAGCGGCGCCCGCATCTCCCGGGAGGGGCTGCGCTCCTCGTCTGCCTGCCCCGCGCCTCGGGGCCGCCCGCCCGCTCGCTGTCCGCCCTCGGCCGGCGGGATGACGAGGATGGGCAGGAGGGAACGTCCGCTGGGCCCCAGCCGCGGGGCGCGGCACGACCCGCTCGACCTCCTGCCTGCGCTCCCGGGCCCTGCTCCCTGCCTGGCCCTTGTCACGCAGAGCCTTCGAGGGGGCGGCCACCCAGTGAACCCCACACTCAGCTGCAGGACCCCTCGAACCCCGCCCGCCGCACCCCCGGAAGTCATCACGGCAGCTGAACCGCGCACTGCCCTGCCCGCCTCCTCCTGGCTGCGGGCAGACCCTTGCATGACCGCGACCCCCCCCGCCCCCCCACCCCCCACCCCGTGTACGTTTGTCTGGAGCGCCCTCCACCAGGCATAATTAAAACCCAGAACTCAAAGTGCACAGTCCAGGACAATCTCGTATTAGAATCGGGTGGGAAGAGGCGCCTGCGGGGCTCCGTGGTTGAGCATCTGCCTTCAGCCCAGGTCGGGATTCCGGGGACCTGGGGTCCAGTCCCACATCAGGCTCCCTGCAGGGAGGAGCCTGCTTCTCCCTCTGCCTAGGCCTCTGGCTCTCTTTCTGTGTCTTCCATGAATAAATAAATAAAATATTTTAAAAATAATAAGAGAAAGGAAGAAAAAGAAGGAAAGAAAAGAAAAGAAAAGAAAGAAAAGACTTTTGTGGCCAGTCAGGATTCCAGGTGGAAAAAAATGGCACACTCCAAACTGGAAATCTGAGGTGCATTTGTTAAAGGAATTGTTGAAGCATAGACGGGTAAACCACAAGGATGGAGAAGTAGGGCAGCCCAGGTGGCTCAGCGGTTTGGCGCCGCCTTCAGCCCAGGGCGTGATCCTGGAGACCCGGGGTGGAGTCCCACGTTGGCCTCCCTGCATGGAGCCTGCTTCTTCCTCTGCCTGTGTCTCTGCCTCTCTTTCTGTGTCTCTCATGAATAGATAAGTGGAATCTTTAAAAAAAAATTATTAAAAATAAAAATTAAAAAAAAGGATGGAGAAGTAGCCCAGAGTCAGAGCACCATTGTCAACCCTAAGCTGACAGGGAGGTGTTCCGAAACCCCAAAGAGAGGAAGAAAGGAGAAGCTACCTGCCTAAGCTGTGGTCATCAGTGACCCCCCTGGGAGGGCACTGGAGTGATAAGACCCTGATCTCCCATCTCCTACCAGAATTCTCCATGGGCTGAATACATTAGGAAGCCAAAGACCTAGGGAGCCCCTTTAGGGAAGTCTCTGCAGTTTACTCTCCTGGGACACAGACCTGGTGGGAAAGGGTGGAGAGTAGACGGGGTACAGAGGCAAATGGAAGACATTCAACACACATAAGCAACTAAGATTAGTCTTAGCTGAGTAGAAAGTAAACCCAAAGCTTCGTGGTCAGGGCTGGAAAATGCTGAGGGCACAGAACCAGACCTGTAAACAGCATGGCCTGTGTCTGCAGATGTCCAGAGCAAGACACCAAAAGGAATTCGGTCCTCCTTGGCTCCCCCTTCCCCAGACCAAGGTCACTTACTCCAGTTGTTACAGCCACACCACATGCTCTCTGGCACTCACTGAGAGCAGGACTTTGTCTTTTACTTCTTTGATGTGCCTCCACAACTCTAAATATGGTGTAATTTCTTGGAAGTTAGGTCATTCTACCCAACAGGTCAGAGAGGGATAGTTTCTGTAAGGTCCTGTTCTACAAACCTGGGCAGGTATATAGAGCTAAGCCCAGCTCTTGGGAACTCTTACAGAGCCCAGGAATCCTCTCTTAAGCCTTAGCAAGTAGGGACAGGTGTTCCTGAGTTCACGAAGGGGAGCATGACGCCCAAGATCTGAGTGGAACATCAAAATATGTTGCAATGCCTTTGGACTCTCAGATAAGATGCTCTTTAACAAAAAAAGTTTTCAAATGTGAGAAACTCCTGAGAATGTCTGGGTTTTATCTCTTCTCTCTTATCAGAAAAAAAAATGCAATAGGTACAAAGAACATGATAATATTTTATGGTTTCTCTACTGCTGTGTTATTTTGCAGCATAACATGACCTTGAAGGCCTGGACTGGAAAGCAGCTTGTTTTCAACCAAGAAACAGAGCTGTTCTGTTTGTATGCTAATTTTTTACTTGTGCAAGCTAGGAATATGTAAAACAAAACATCCTTTACAAAGATTTTTGAGTCTCTATAACTATTCATATATTCAAGTAATTAACTATTCAGGAGCCATAAATCAGGGAGATATAAAGACTGACCCTACAGTAGATAACCAACACCTAAATTAATTTTATTAGTTCACTCAACAAAGTCCCTTGAGTGCCTGCATGCCCAGTTCCACAAGGAGTTTTGAATCAGGCAAGAAGCACGTGGGTTACTTTAGTGAGAAAGAAACTCAAGAAGTGCTCTTTCAACAGGAGTGAAGTGATATCTGGCAACCCTGATCATCTAAAAAAGCTATAACTACACAAAAAGAGAAAAAGAGTCTTCACTTTCTCCTTAAAAAAAAAGATTTTATTTATTTATTCATTAGAGACACGACACACAGAGAGAGACAGGGAGAGGCAGAGACACAGGCAGAGGGAGAAGCAAGCTCCATGCAAGGAATCCTGATGTGGGACTCCGTCCCAGGACCCCAGGATCACGACCTGAGCCAAAGGCAGACACTTAACCACTGAGCCACCCAAGCGTCCCCCTTCATTTTCCCCTATAGGCAAGTCTCAATTATTCAATGACCAGAAAAATAACTTATGGATTCTGCAGGCCTTTGACTTTTCACTACTTCCTTCATTATCCACCTTCTTATTACTTGTTTAGTGCAGCCTACATATACTTGGCTTTGAATTAATTAAAAAGGAAAAATCCAAGCTGACAGCCAAAGAGAAACTCTGATCAAGAGACTCGGAAAATAAATGTTTCGTGATTTTTACCCAGCAGGAGAAATTTGCCTTCCCCCAGGTTATATTCAACCTAGAAAAATATCCTCACAAAAGACCCAGTAGCATACATGACTCCCTCCTGCTGCTACTGCACTGAGATGGGGTAGACAGTTGTGTCTGGGGGAGAGTAAACCTCTTTAGGACCAGAAGGGATCTGGCAGGAGCAGAGCTGGAGAGTAGATGGTAAAAGAGCCGGAGAGTAGATGGTAAAAGTTCTGAACTTAGTTCTGACCTGGGAATGATAGGCAGAGATTCAGAAATTCTGCAACTGAAACGCTAGTTCTGATAGTTCTGTCTGCCCCGAGTACGTCCATTCCCTCCCCAGCAGCTGAACTCCACTTAAGAAATCTAGCTGCAGGGATGCCTGGGTGGCTCAGCAGTTTAGAACCTGATTTCAGCCCGGGGCATGATCCTGGAGTCCCAGGATCAAGTCCCATGTCCCTGCATGGGACCTGCATGGAGCCTGCTTCTCTCTCTACCTGTGTCTCTGCCTCTCTCTGTATGTGTGCGTCTCTCATGAATAAAGAAATAAAATCTTGAAAAAAAGGGAAAAAAACAAAAAAGAAATCCAGCTGCATGGGGGCACCTGGGTTGGCTCAGTCAGTTGGGCATCTGACTGTTGGTTTCGGCTCAGGTCATGACCTCTGGGTTGTGGGATCTAGCCCCACATCCAAGCTACACACTCAGCAGGGAATCTGCTTAAGATTCTCTCTCTCTCCCCCTGCCCCTGCTTGCATGCACTCTAAATAAATAAATAGGTGGGACACCCTGGTGTCTCAGTGGTTGAGCGCCTGCCTTCAGCTCAGGGCATGATACTGGAGTTGCGGGATTGAGTCCCACATCGGGCTCCCTGCATGGAGCCTGCTTCTCTCTCTGCCTGTGTGTCTGCCTCTCTCTGTGTGTGTCTCTCATGAATAAATAAATAAAATCTTGGAAGGAAGGAAGGAAGGAAGGAAGGAAGGAAGGAAGGAAGGAAGGAAGGAGAAGAAAAAGAAGAAAGAAAGAAAGAAAGAAAGAAAGAAAGAAAGAAAGAAAGAAAGAGCAAGCTAGCTGCAGGTCCTCTCCTTCTCCACATGACACACTCCCTAGTGACAAAGGCCACAGGGGTCACACACCTGCAGTCTTTGTTTCACTACCATATACCTGTAGTTCTGTCTGTGTCTTATCATCCCGCTGACTCTATAAAGTTCTTGAAGCTGGAGCCTGTTTTTGCAGGATTTTTACAGCCTCCCATCTTCGTGGTACCTTTAGCAGAAATGATTATTCTACACTGCATTCCTGGGGGCAGGAATTAGTGGCAGAGCAAGTGGCCATTATGGGAGTATGATCCTGGGATTCCAGAAACCCAGGCTGCTCAAAGCCTTCCCCATTCTTGGATTAGTAACAGCCATTGAGATTAAAGACCTAGAAACCCCCGGGTTGAAGAAAAGAGAACACTTCAAACCATTATTGTTCATTAACACCCTGTTAGTTATCTAAGTGCTTAAGGAATGTCACTGGGTGTGGTAAGTTTATAACAATGAGTGCTGGAAGGAAGGAGGTGGACCCGTCCTTAGCATGGGTCATGAGATCTCCATATCTCATGGAGACAGAACTGGGTCCATATGGGGGGCCTCTGAGAGGGCCTTGGGAACTGGTGACTGTAGCTGGAGGACACCTTGTGCTTGAAAGGCTGAGTAAAGAAAGAATGGGAGGTTGAGGAGGTCAACCAGACTGATTTGGCTCACCCATCTAGAAGTAAAGCCTATTTCAATCAGCTGAACAGGTAGTGTTTAAAGAGACTCAGCTCGTGGAGCTGAAAAGTCAGTTAATTCTGAATAATGAAACATAATAAATAAAGTATTTTGAACATATGTATAGAGAGATGTAAGTGCATGGTAGATTTTAGAGCCGAAGAGTCT